ATTTTGTATATATGAGACCAGCAAGAAGTGACGGCATAGATAATTGCAAACAGGCAGGGACAGAGACGGACAATTGAGTCAAGCGTGGTAGTGACCGTAAGTAAAGTTTGTGAATCGTTGTGAATTGTAGCATGTGTTTAAGTTAAAGTGACTGTGGAAATTAAGTGTATTGCAAAGTTGAGTTGGTAAAGAATAAACTAGTTTTATTTAAGAATGGACTTGTATCGGCTGAAGTTTCTCGAAAAGAATTCCTACGGAAAATTAACAAAGAGAACAAAGACGTAACAATATTTTTCATAAGTTATTCTGTTTGACTTCATTTAAGTGTGGAAAAAGAAACTATTTTTAAAATCACACAGCATCTAATCACTAGATAAGTTCTAAGCTAATTCAGAGGTGCACTTAGCCTCTATATCTTATTACTGTAATTCCACACAAATTTAAATCTTAACTTTTGTTGCATAACGAACTAATTTATGATGCTATGGTTTAGTAACTGTTTATCCTTTCATTTAATATATTTTCCATTTTGAACATCAACAGCAATAATAATAATTAATATATTATAATAATCAGATTTATTGACAGGAATGTTGAACTACCTAATGTTACTTTAAAGAGACTAGTTAAGAACTAGTGTTAATCTGGATCTGTGAAACCACACCTATATGGATTTTGTAGAGATTAGGGTTCAACTTTGCCCTACAGGCATAGCCTGAGTTAAAAAAAACAAGAAATATGGGGTTCATTATTTGTTAATTCTGAAAGCATTTGTGACAAGTATGTTAGGGATGAAAAAATGATTTAAATATATAGTAGGTTTAAGATTTTACTTCATATATAATTTGCTTATTTTTTTTTGTTTTGTTTTCAAATAAGCTCACACTAATACTGCTTCATATATTTATTTAGCACCTATCAGTTAGCTAGATTGTTTGGTTTAGTTTTAGTCAAAAGAAAATTAATAAGTAATTTTATGACATGTATGGGTTGTTAAATAAATCCTGTTGAGTGGGCTATGAGCGCTAGTAGGTCTGGCAGGGGGCTTGGGAGGCACCATGAATCCCCAAAAAATTTTGAAAAATAGGTGCTCTCAGAGCAATTCTGGGCATGTTTGGGGCATAAAATACGAATATTTTCAGGTACATTGTATCCTATGAAAAATCCACCGTTTCTCCCCAGTAAAGGGGTTATTTATTCTGGTTCATCACCCATGAACAATAAATAGTCAATCACCATAACTGCAAAGTTAGTAAATAACCCTGTTATCTCCCACACTAAACCAGTCATGTTTGTGCCTAAACATGAAAATTGTCAGCTTTCGGAATAAAAGTATTCCCTTTAAGTCCTAGCATTTTCATCTCAAAGATAGTGTGTCTATTTACATTACAACATGTGGCTAAAATAGCTCCTTGCGGCTGTCAAAATGTGAATGATCAGCTCAATGAGCTTCATCCATGTGTCACAGTTCATTTTAGGATAAATGGCTCTAATAAATATGTTGACATAAGAAAAGAGTGTGGTTTACTGATTATGTTTTTAAGTTGGATGGTGAATTAAAAAGATGGATTTCGACAGATTCTATTTCAACTTTACCTGACAATTTGCTGTCTTCACATGGACAGGATTGAGACAGCCATAGCTATATCACACAGCACATGTGTAGTGGAATGTTATGTGGAGTGCAGCCAATTGTAATTATATTTCTGAACCCTTTGTTTACAAAACATCATGAGCATGTGGAACATTGTGGTAGTGTAAGCTGACCTCCCCAATATTTTTAAATCGTATTTACATGAATCACAGAAAATGACACAAATGATGAAAAAAAACTCTGAAATCTGCAGCAAATTCACATTGCAGAATAATAATCACCAGATGGTTGAATATAAAATGCAAACATCCATATGAATTTCAAATGGCAAAATTTGATTATTTACACAAAAATATTGCTTTATTTCATTTTTAGTACATGATGAATAATCATCTGTGCTTATGTCACACATATAAAGACAAAACCTCTGCAAGCTGAACTGTGCAGATACCATTAAAAATGGCATTGCATCAGTATAATGTGTGATTAAACTTGAAGGCATTGGGTATCACAGATGCAATTACAGACACCATTCTCAATCATAGTAAACAGGCCTTATGTAGAATCCATTAATGTACACATAATAAGTATAACACTCACTTTGTCTGTAGTACTTAATTCAAACTACAAGGTGAAATAATGATGGCATAAACTTATTATATTATGTACGTTTTAGCTTATATTTAGGCAAAGCTATAATAAGGCATGTGTCAGTGCATACTTGTTACAAGCATACATGCATTATTCTCTTTTTAATAGAAAATGCCAAAAATGACTGGTCCATAGAGCACATGTGTAAGTCAATGTTTTTCCTTACTGGCAACATGGCAACCATCTACCAAAATATGCAAGATTTGTTTAGTTTTTTTTGTAATTTGCCAAATATGACAAATTATAACTAGAAAAAAAAATCTCTCTAAAATTGTGGGCACCCAGCCTGCTTGCCTGCCTATGCTCATGCCTTCAACTGCATACTTTATTCACTCAGATTGTTATTTTTTATACGCCTAGCTTCATTTTTTTAGGTATATGATTATAAAGTATGACCAAAGACGTACATTAGGTATTTCAGGTTGGAAATATTAAACAGCACACCATTATGAAAAGTTTGAATAACTGTACTGATTAATACAAAATCAACTTAATCATTTCCTATTCATTAAACAATGTATTGGCAATATTATAATGATATTCTAATATTATAATTGTTTTAATATTAGGAATATGCACTTTAATGTATGTACATAAAAGCTGTTTTCACCTCTTAATTGATTGTATACAGGCTCAGTTGTTTTGACTGTCCTTGCAACCACCAGCTAACCATGCAAGTATACATAACTTTCAATGTGCATCTTCATGAAATTTGACAAGCTTTTAGTAAACATTACAAGCCTTCTGTACACAGAAAAAATCAGAACTTTTGAGTAAGTAATTTTGCTAAAGGTTTATCTGGGAATTTATGGGGTCAAGAGCCTGATTACGACTCCCACTAGTGTGAGTGCAAAGTGATTTTTCATGTTAAGATTGAAATACTTTTTTCATCTTACAAGTTTCAGATTTCATCTGAATAACCTCCTAAATGAGTATTGAAGTTACTGCTTTCAGTAAAACTTTGTAGTTTATTTTCTCTACTTAACATTGTATATGGACTCTGTCCATTTAAACAACTTTGTAACCATAATGTAACAAAACAAAAAAGAAAGAAAGAAAATTATCATTTTCTACAATGACTGTGCATTGACAATAACAATTACACACTATATATTTTTACAGCCACAGTTACTAAATTTTTCAGTTAGTATTTCTTTACAGCTGCACTTAGATCCTCTTAGACTATGGCGATAGCTATTTATTACACTGGACAGCTTCATGTAAATAATGGATCCAGTTACCAGCACACTCATGCTGAATTACACAACCTTACTTACACTTATTGTGTGCTACCATTTATCATGAGTATTTTATTTATTTAATTTCATTTAGTTTCCTTATCTAACCTAATAAGTTTCTAATCTTTATGTTTTACTTACTTTTGTAATAAAAAAATATAAAGAAAAAACCAAGAAATTTAGTACTTAAGTCTGAAATAGTGTCTTTTTCAAGCTTTTCCACTCATACAATAGAAGTGGATGTCAAAGATTAGCCATAACTCTTAGTAATGATAACGTGGTCTCAAAAATAACCTTTTAAAAGTTTAGATACGCAATATTTCCACACATAAAATAAAGTTTTTAAAGTGATACAATTTATCTGGCATTCTAACTGAGCTATTTAAAAAAAATATATACTTATTCCAAAGGTTTTAAGCACCATAACTGTTAGTAAATTGAAATATTTACTTTCTTTTGGTTACAAATCTTCCAACAGCAAATGTTAGAGAGAATGTATGATTATTTTTGAAAGCAGGGTGTTCTATAAGGGTCGTGGGTATGTGGCTTTCACTTCATTGCTTATATCTCCATAAATTAAAGAGTTTTGTCTGTACAAACTGACAGATTAGCTTGGGAATGTGTACAGTATAACAGCAAACATTTAACAGTAAGTTAGGTCATACAGAGGAAGAAGAAAACTGAACAATGGCAATTCAGAGTGAAGAAACATTACATGAAATAAATAAGTAAATATTGAGAAATTATTTATTTGAAACCAAAAATTAAAACTTATATGATACTAAAATGTGAATAATAAAGTACATTTTGATGCCAAGTTTATTGATATACATTGATCATAAAATGGTTTAATTGAACTTTGAAGGCAACTCTCATGAAATTATGCAGATATGAGAAAAAAAGTCATCAGAAAAATAAAAATTCTAAAATGTTGCTACTGTATTGTGGATAGATGAAACGAAGTTTGTAACAACAGTTATATATATATGCATTAAACAGCAAATTACTATTATAACCTACTTTAAATTTTGATAATGCTTAAAGTTTTAAGAAAATCTTAGTTTTATTACACATACTTTAAATGTATTATGTTGTTAAATAATAGCACCCACACATGCAATGAGCAAATTGGTAATGAGAACAAATATTTGAAATGCTAAAAGTTCAAATCTAGCCTGTAAAATACAAACTGTAATACTATAAACAAATATACAGCTTACATTTAGAGACTGTAACATTGGAACTCCTTCTAGAAGTGATTCGTATTCTTTCCTTTTTTTGAAAGCACCTTTCAGTACGATCTTTCTAAATACTTGTCGACTCTGAAATCAACAAACAAAATAAGTATGTTTAAACAAATGTCATTTAAAATGGTGTTATGATTTGATTTTATTACTTTTCTTGTTTATCCAATGAGATTAAGCTTATAGAATGTGTTAAATAAATCATGCCTCTATCCCTGAGCAACTAAATCTTGTGTATATGCAAAAATGAAATACAGTTTATTATTATTAAAGTAACAAACCTAGCAAGGTTCCAATTTTCAATAAATTAAGTTAAAACTCTTCACTTGTACCTGAAGTTTCAAAGTAATAAATTAGCTCTGTAAATATGTTTGGCACAGTCAACTACAAAAAGTAACTGTAAAGCAACACACATTATCATGCCCTTTAAAACGTAATATTTATATAACAGGTATAAGTGATAGTATTGTGTTTGTAGACAACAGATGATATGAGTATTCCAATAATATTTACAGACAATAAACAATTTACATAGTAATGCAAATGCCCGAAAATTTAGTGTTATGTTAATATTTGTGGAAACAAACTTACAGAAATTCTAAAGCATGTAT